GACTTCAAACCAAAAAATATAGGCCTACTTCAAAGAAACCACCGCAACCCACACACAGCGCCTCAGTTCTCACACAGAGCATACGTCACACGTCGAGGCCGAACCCACAGCCAAACACACACACAGCCTCAAAGATTTCGATCGTCGGAGACTCAACTCGCCGTCGATCACACACAGAGATGGAGCCGCCAATAACCACAGCCTGATCTCCACTGATTGCACACACAGCAACACCGCCCATAAAGAAGCCGCACTCACAGAAACGTGGAAGAATATCAGATTCAACTCCGACCACCCATAATAAAAATTGATTTCCACCTAAGTCCTCTGGGCATGAATGTTTCATGAGAATGACACGAAAGTCACTGAATTCCAAGATTTTATAAATCGGGTTATCCAAATCTTGAAAAGCCCGTGCAGTTACAACAAATGGCTGTCGTCAAGTTGAATTGAAGCTTGAATGCTGCTGTTATATTTAACTAAATAGCCAGAATAGGAAGAAGGGGGAAAACAGATTCTAGAGCCTCACAAAGTTGAAGGAGGCCAGTGCCAAAACTGCCAAGAAACCCAATGAGCTACAAACACACGGTCCACCCATTACCTAAAATACCAGGCGAAAACTAAACTGATGCATAAACAGATCATCGCCGCCTTCATCGGTGTTACTGACCTGCTGATAGAGAAAAACCACGGGTTCCGAACTGAAATCAAACCCACCGCAATTATTGGAAACTCGAAATGCAATTCTTTCTTCATGTACAAGTTCAGAAATTGGACCTCGGATCTGAACTGAGCTTCAAATAAAAAAAATCACCAGAATGTTTACTATGCAAGCCCAAACTGATGAAGATGCCAACTGATGAATCTGTTGACAAAAACCCCATCGACCCAGAAAAGAAAAAAAAATAAACGAAAACAAAAACTCAAGATTGGGCAATTAAATTGACAGAATGAACGAAAACCCTATCGAGATCGGGCGGGAGGAGCAAAAGAAAGCTCCTTCCGTCGTGAGAAAACCTTATCAAAAAAACAAGAGAAAATTTTAAGGAATTGGCTTTGATACCATGTCAAGAAATATAAATTGTATTATATTGTCTTGTTAATATTACAATGTAGAAGACCCTATTTATAGGGTTACAAATAACTGTAGAAGGAAAAAAACATAAAAGGAAAGATTACATAATCAACTACTAAGGAAAGTAAACCTACACTAAAAGGAAAGTAAATATAATCGCAATCTTTGATGATCTCTGTAATCTTATTCAATATCCTTGACAATGAATAGGATTAGTGTTGCTCGAGAGAGATCACTAACTACATCAGGTTAGTTCGATCGTTGGCATGTATGAAAAATGGCTGAATAAATTGGAATTAAATGTATAATAAATAACCTAAGTGAAATCGGAAATTCTAAACTATCTAATCACATAATCTTTTCTCCAGATTTAATTTGAGTCCTTTAATTTGTTAAATAGTTCATTATTTTGTTGATTAGAATTTCATTTAGAAAACATAACTTGATTTGATTTGATCATTAGTTACCATTTTAACTTAAATCGAAACTAGATTAATTTAAAACTTTATAGCAAATAATAGTCTCTGTGGGACGATATTCGGACTTACAAAAAAATCCACTTTCTTACTTGTCACGATCCGTGCACTTGCGAAATCTCACGAACATATAGTAACATGGTCAGTGAATTAATTTCTGTGGCACAATTTGATCAAAAGACGCCTGGAAGTAGCTCATACAAACCTATACAACTGGAAAATCTAGAAGAAATGATAGACATCACTAAATCCACAGGGCCATATGTTGATAATGAACAGACAAACTCCTTACCGTTTGAGCGACAAGAACTAAAAGTAGTGCTGGAGGATGGTGCTTTGTCCCCACAAGAAAATCTAAAGATCATTGATGCTAGTTTTGAAAATGAGACGTGTTACTTTAATAACAATTTGGAGGAGCAGATATATGGTTCCCTGCACAATGTTAATTTTCAAGCTTTTTCAGAAGAAGAAGAAGATGGTGATGAATTAGAGGAACTAGCTCCAAAACAATAAGAGACTGATGGTGAGAACAACGTTTCATTTTTGAAGCGCAGGAGAACCAAAACAAAATCCATAAAGGCAATCTTCCCTAAGATTACTAGGTCCCAAAAACCTTATTAACTATGAATGTGCTAATTTGGCATATTAGAGGAGTGGTGTCATCGAAAAGTCATCTTATGTAGATAAATAAAAAATTTAAACCAGAAGTTGTAGCTCTTATAGAACTGTTTGTACGAGTAGACCGAATTCATAATTGGAGACGTAAATTACGGATGGAGAATTGCTGTTCTAATGTCATGGAAGGTGGGAAAATCTGGTTATTTTGGAGTAAAGAATTGCATTTTGATCTGTTGGTGGCATCTGATCAGGCTATTTCAGGCCTCTTTCTTAAAGATGGAAAAAAAATGTTTGTAACATTTGTGTGTGCTAGTTGTTTCTGGAACAAGCGTAGAGAACTTCGGGAGAAAATATGAAATATGTCAAGTGATACAGAGCCATGGCTTATTGGTGGTGATTTTAATGTTGTTCGTGCGAATGAGGAAAACGTGGAAGGACTATTTTCTGATAGACGTCCAAAGCAGGAATTTAACCTATGTATTTAGGAATGTGGTCTTGTAGATTTACCTTTTGAAGGTAGTCGCCTAATGTGGTGTAATGGAAGAGCAGGTAGAAGAAGAATTTGGGCTCGGCTACATAGAGTATTGGTAAACCCCATTTCTTAGAATGATTTAGTTAATCAAAGCTGATCAATATGGCTCGCTCATCATCTGACCATTGCCCAATGGTGATCTAGCTGAATAATAGAGCTCATGAATATGTCTCAACACCTTTTAGATTTCAAAGCATGTGGTGTTCGTATGAGGGGCTACTACCTCTTATTAAACAATATTGGGAAAAGAAGGTCATTTGGTGTCCAATGGTCCGCCTGGGGTACAAACTTAAGACTTTGGAAAAGGTACTTAAAAGATGGCATGTGGAGGTGTTTGGTCGGGTGGATCAAGAAATGACCAAACGGGAGAATCAAATGATGATGCTTGAAAATACAGTTATACAAGAATATGCAGAGGAAGTGGAAGCTCAGCTTATCAACTGTAGCAAGCTTCATAGCGAGTTGGTGCAATGGGAGGAGGTTTTATGGTGCCAAAAGGTGACAACACTAGATTTTTCCACGCATGTGTAAAGAGTAAAACCTCCAAGAAATCTGTTCAAAGTATGATTTTAGAGAATGGCCGCATACTTGCATCAGCGGATTCTGTACATACAGAGGCTATACATTTTTTCCAAAATTTACTTATGGTCTCTGCAACCACTAGATACCATGAAGCATCTCATTCAGCCATGTATTGGATAAACAGAAAATGAAATGCTGTGTTGACTACCTACCATGGATGAGGTTCAAACAGTACTTTGATCGATGCCTATGGACAATTGTCCTGGGCCGGATGGATATACAGCTAGTTTTTTCAAATTTGCATGGGATGTGGTAAAGAAGGATTTGCTGGATATGGCTTTACAATTCTTCAAGGGACGACCACTGACTACTTTGCTTGGAGCGACAAATCCGGTCTTGATCCCTAAAGTGGATAATACTGGAAGTTTTGCACAATTTTGCCCCATCAGCCTATGTTCGGTTCCCTACAAGATCCTTTCAAAAATTTTGTTATGCGTTTGTATCCGCTGCTTCGGTCTCTTATCTCCAAGGAACAAAGTTCATTTATACCTGGGAGAAGTATTTTTGAAAACGTGGCGGTGGCTCAAGAAATGGCATCATCATTAAATAAAAAGGTGACGGGTGGAAACATTATTGTAAAACTGGATATGACAAAGGCATATGACAGAGTGAATTGGGGTTTCTTGTTGGAGGTGCTAAAGCGGTTTGGATTCTCCCAACAATGGAGAAATTTAATTTTTAATTGTATTTCCTTCCATGGTTCTCTGCTATTCCGAATGGGTCGGCTAAAGATTCTTTCAAGCATCTCATGGTCTACGACAAGGGGATCCTCCATCCCCTTACTTGTTTATCATAATAGATGAGGTCATCTCTAGATTGCTTAAGCTTTCTTATGATTTGGGAAAGATAAAACCTTATAACATTGGTGGAGGTGTAATGGTCTCGCATCTTTTATATGCAGATGACATATTAATTTTCTCCAATGGTGACAAGAGATCAGTTTGGAATTTATTGCAATTGCTGAATACATATGAAAATATTTCGGGACAACGGGTGAGTTCAGCCAAATCTGTGATATTTTTCTCCAAGCACATCAGGCAAACACGGAGGAATGGTTTGTTGAAACTATCAAGCTTCGGGGAGGGCTCATGGCCATGCACCTACCTAGGGGTGCCTCTTCACATCGGAAGACTTACTATGGATATGCTAGAACCGATGTTAGCAAAGATTCAGAAAAAAATGGCCGGATGGAAAGGTAGACTGTTATCTTTTGGAGGCAAAATTACTCTAATCAAACATGTCCTTAATAGCATGCCCATCCACATCGTATCTGTCTTACAAGTTCCTAAAGGGACTTTTAAGAAACTAAATAGAATGTTCTCGAATTTTCTTTGGGGCTCGTCACCTAGGAGCTACAAGAGAAAATGGATTGCATGGAAGAATATCTATCTACCGGTGGAAGAAGGGGGTCTAGGATTCCGAAACCTCATGGAAGTGCAAACATCTCTTTTAATGAAATTTGTCCGGAAATTATTAAAAGAGAGCAGCCTATGTGCAGATTTCTTCAGAAGAAAATATCTGGCGAATAATCACATTACTACTGTCCTACATAGTAACCATGGCTCTAGATTTTGGAAGTCCCCGTTGCACGTTGCTCTGTTGGTGTTAAAACATGCAAAAATGGTTATATGCAATGGAGAAGCTAGTTTCTAGTTTGACAATTGGTTAGGGTCAGGTCCTTTATCAGAAGAAAATCAGTACAACGACCAAAAACTCCAAGTTAAAGACTTGCTATCGGACACAGGGAGGGATATGGATAAGCTTCGAAATCTTCTTGATAATGATGGTGTCAAACAAATCATTGATGCTAATATTGTACTTCACCCTAGAAGAGATGTTCTAGTCTGGCAGCCAACCAATGATGGTTGTTTCACTTCTAAATCAGCTTGTGAACTCATTCGGGCTAGAGGTGATAAATGTGAATGGAAAAAATGGCTTTGGTCTCTAATGGTGCCCAAGAAAATTTCTTTTGTAAGTTGGCGAGCTCTTGGATCTAAGTTACCTGTTGACATTAATATCCAAGCATTGGGTGTCAATTTTGGCATCCAGATGTAATTGTTGTA